GTCCCTCTCTCTGACAGATAAGGTTAGTGCCACACCTTTTCCAGTGTCCTGTCACATCTTTCATTTAGTGCATTGCTGGATCCACTGCCTGGTGTCATGCATGCAGAAGTGCAGGGAGGGGAAAAAAAGCATTGTGCCAACACTAAGCAAAAAACACATTATGGTGTACTCTGTATTTCCTTAATTTTTATTTCAAGAACTTATACTTCCATTTCCTGGAAAGTGGTTTATCTATTTCCTGGAAAAGTGGTTAATAGCATGATAGCATTTGCAGGAAAATGCTTCTGATAAAGCTGGAAAATCTGACACATTTTTGGCCATGCTACAGCATGGCAGCCAACACAAAATGCACACAGATCTTCCTATTAAGCAGCCACTTAACACTGTTATAGTTTCTCCTCAAAAGATACCCCTCATGCTATGCATGTGCTGTTGCCTGCTGGGTTAAGTTGAAAAGTATATTGAAGATAAATAACTTTATCTCCATTCAGAGCTGAACAATACTTTAATACCAGTCCAAGAATAAAAACAAGGTACTATGGAATGAGCATGCAGTTGCTTCACCCCACCTCTGCCCTCACAGCTTGTTACAGGCTTGGTTCTTTCCTTTGTACAATTGAAGACACATATTTTATATTACTGTCTAGGTTTAATGGTCAGGACGAACCAAAAACCAGAGAACAGAACTGCTCTCTATTACCCAACTCCACCCTCACACAGGAAGATAAAAGGGGAATAAGGAAAACAGACTTAAAGGTTGGAAAATAAAACTGGAACAGGTTTACTGGAACTGGAAAAGGGGAGTAACACATGGGATAAGGAACAATACATCCAAGAATATACTAATATATACCAAACCTAATCTCGATGATGGCAGAGATAGGTGCTTGAGGGTCCCTCGCAGCAGGCCTGGCTTGTGAGAGGGGTCCATGGCTTTTCCCAGCATCTGACAGATTGAAATCCTGCAGAGCACATGATAAGCTGATGGAAAAGCAGGAGCCTCTCTCCAAGATCTCGAAGTGCAGCAGCAGCAAGGAAGAAAAGAGCAGGAAAGGGGACAGGTTTCTGAGTCTCCTGGCTTTTGTAGAGTATGAGAGGAAATGGGAGGGAATACTGACCATCTTCTGCTCCCCATATCCCTCAGGGTCCTAAAGACCCTCACTCTAGGTCCTCATATTGGTGCCACAGAATTAGCCTGGCCCCCCTCAAACCTTAGCAATTAGGTATTTATCCTTGTTACTCTACTTGCCTTAGCCAAGAAGCTCTGCAGTTTGGAAGAATTGCATTCTGCTGGTGTAAACATTCATGGATTGGTTTTCGTTCTTGCTTTTTTTTCCGTTATGGCAGAGATTTCTGCTCACTCATCCAGAAATTAAAGCTGCATTTTTAAAGGTTTTGAACTTAGCATTTTCAACACTTTTTTGTTGTTGGTTTTGATTTTTAAATTAATTGTATTAGACCTCTACCTGCTTAGCTCAGACAAAACCATATCTGCAGCACAGCTGCCTGGCTGGGGATAGGGGGTGATGTTTAAAAAACAAACCCATCCAGGAAAAGTGATGTGAAACTAACGAGCTGTTTTACAATTTCTTTTGTAATTCTGTAATACTGCTATATATAGCATGTACTGTGTTCAAATTTGCTCTGACCTTTTACTTCTGTCACAAATTACAGGGAGGCACTGCAGGAAACTCACTTCTCCAGTATGCAAGGAGCCTTCAAGTACCAAAACTGCACATTAATTTTACATAGCTGGTTAACATCCACATTTTTTTCCTGTCAGCTTTGTCTTGAAGCTTAAATAGATCTTCTCTCCTTCTATTTGCACCATGATACATTTAGAAACAAATTAATGGCCCTTTTCTGGCTTTTGCCAAAAGGTAAAAACAAAGCAGCACCCACAAAATACAATTCCCCACCAGTCTTTCATTACAACAGTTGCACTTTTGGTGTCATGACCACTGGCTACCCATAATGCTGTGCTGGTACAGGTGATGGGCTGGTTACCTTAGATTTCAGCTGGGTTTTTTTGTGACTTCAGCTCACAGGATGTGCTGATCTTTCCACAGGCTGACATGCCTTTCTGACTTTAAATCGAATCACCTTTTCACTCCACATTATGCTATCAGTGGCAGGTGCTATGCCTGACCAGGTGACTCCCTGCTGGCTGTCCCATGGCCTCCAGCCCTTCTGCTTGCACACCACAGTTCCTGAGCTGGAAGCCTGCAGTGCATACTTTCCTGAAATTAGACACAGGAAAAATCTGACCCCCTTACATTAATGGTATCATATTTACCAAGAATTACACAAATAGCAAAATCATGAGCCCCTCCTCCTGGCAAAGGTGAGTGTGAAAGCTCCCACGTGCCACTCTCCCATGCAGGCTTCTGATCCAGCTTCCAGCCACACCATGACAGGTGCCAATGCCTTGGCAACCCCTCCCCACATCCCTGCAGGAATCAACACCCTTACATACCTATACCTACTCCTGAAAAAAGAGCTTGTGTTGCTTCGATACAGCGTTCTGCAAAGAACAAAAGAAGCATGCAAAGGCAACTGAGCAACCGCCAGTGTTTCATGTTTGCATTTGCAAAGTACATTTGACCTTCCTGCTTCCTCCAAAAGCATTTTTTATCTCAACTATTGTGGAGGAACATTTGAAAAAGATAGAGAAATGCAACATTTGACACTGGAGAAGAAACTTCCAGAGGACACTCTTTATTTGTGCAAAAGCACACCAGCTAATAATGAAGCTGCTGCTTAGAGATAGGTGTATTCAAGGTTTTTCTAACAGACTGTGTCTAAATGCAGTGGAGAGTGTCCCTGTGAAGAGCTGGAATAGAATAGCTTGGGAATGGAAGGACAATATGTGCACTGATACCTACCAGCAGATACAAACAGGGTTTTAGCCAGGTAGTAGTTCAGCCTTTGTCTCTTTTGCACTTAAAAATGTTATTTCTTATTTCTGTGTTTTAATCATAAAATGCTCATGCAAAGAACACATTCAGTATTATAATCTAGAACCTAAATGCTTCTTAATTCTCTAGTCAATGAGCCTAAAATACAGCTATGGCTCATCTTTGTAAAATGCATTTTGAGATGAATTCAGAAAACCCCCACAAAAGTTTAAGACACAAGAACTGTTTTGAAACTTCAATTTCTATTCTATTAGCTACACTTTCAGCTTCCTCTCGTTATGAGACAAACTCTTGCTTGTGGCAAGTTGCCATTGGACAAAGGACACCAGTAAGTTTAAAAGCACTAAAAAATGTGAGTTTTTCCTGAATTTAAGCTACATAAGGACAACCTTATGTGTCCTTCAGTGTGTGTTAAAACATAAATAACTTTTGCCATAACCTCTCTAAGGAGTAGTATTAGAAGTATTAAGAATCTGATCCATACTAGTTGCATCACAAGACTTTTTTTAACTGGCAACGCCTTACAACCAAAGTTTGACATGATGTTGGACCCTATTCTCCCTCTACAAAATGCAACTTTGTCACATAATTGCTCAGAAAATTACTATTCTTAAATTTTAAACTGCTTTTCTCCAACTTACTACTTCCTCCACCCCCAAATTATAAATCCTATCTAAGAACAACTTCTGTGTAAGGACCAAAGGGGCCCTAAAAGCTGTTACCCTTCCTGACATTTTCATGTATTTCTATCTTAGATGCAGTCAGGCTGAAAAATCTACTCTTGCTAATTTGCTCAAAATATATTTGCCATAATTTGTTTAAATAATAAAAGAAAACTTTACAAGGTGTATGTTAAAAAGAAGTGTTCAGAACCCACAAAAGCCTGTTTCAGCTCCAAAAAGGATCTTCTGTGACCAAAGCCACTGATTTATTATATGGTTTCTCATTTCACTGCAACAGGAACTTCTTTGCCTGATCACCATCACTGGTAATGTAAAACTACAGTTAGCAAACTCTGAATGCATTGCTATGGACTGCAATGGCTTTTGGACATACTGGTTTAAATAACCTTAAAATATTACAACCATCTTCAGAGTTAGAGCAGTACGTAGCCTTACTTTCGGTGTGACTGCATGCACAGTTGGGCCCCACCACTGAAGGTAAAGGTTGAAGGTAAAGGAAAGGTTGTTGGAATACCATAATGAGTTAGGGAAACACTGCATCACCGAGCCCCACATGCATGTACAGGCAAAGCCACCTGTGGAGAGAGGCATGCCTGCCTTCCCTGACAGTGTGTAAACTGCACAGTATCATTGTCCCAGAAAAGGTGTGTCTGTTGCTCCTTCCACAGAAACTAATTCCGGAATATGCCATATGAGCTCTTGAACACCATGAGTCAAATAAAATTTGCCATGCAAATCATGTAACTGAGAGAGCATTAACCAGTAGAAAACAAGAAACAAGACAATAGCTCTGGGCCCTTCTGGTTGTGTTTTGTAAGTAGTCTGTGTTGAAATCATTCTTGATAAATCAGCTCAGCTCACTCTGTGCAGGCAACTTTGCAGAAGCCAGTTCTTTTCACGTGAAGAGGAACCATTGCCAGCAACCACAACAAGAAAAAAAGATAATTTTAAGTACTTTTCTTTTGACTTATTCTGGGCCTCCCATACTCATGAAGTTCTGACTGCTTCTGGACATCTAAGGATGAAAATTGTTACTGCAATTCTTTCACACAACAAGCTACGACTCAAACTAAAAAGTATTTATGCAATACATGAGAACACCACACATGTAGAGATTTTATTTACATCCTGAAGTCACTCTGCATTTCCCACATGCTTTCACTAAGACACATCTCTTTTGTATGAAATTCCAGGCTCACAGTCTTCAGAGCTTGACAGAAGTTTCCACGTACTACACAGGACTAGCAGAGTAGCTTCACTTGTTGAAGCTTCTATGGAGGCTAAAGTCCTTTAAGGATAATCAAAACTTGCATTGTAGGATAACATAATTTGCATGCTTTTAGAAACAAGAATGTTTTCACCAGCTTTTAGAAATAAACAGTATAAAGCAGATACACTTATGTTAAAATTTTTTTCCTTCTTACAGTACTTACATTTTATCTGGACTAAAACATCAGTAATTTACAGTAATTTCAACTACCTGCTTTCTAAAGGCTCTTCTACATTTTTTGAGTCTTTTCGTTTCCACAGATTTCCAAACACAATCCCTGTGAAGAGCAGAAGTCCTACAGTACGATTTGAAGCAAATTTCTTCCAACAGTCTTCAGGTTTGTCTATGTCCAAAGTGTAAATCTGCAAAAGCACAGTATAATATTCTAGCATTATTATTCTACGGACTCATAAATACTTGACACACCACAAAGACACACAAAAAGGTCTTCAAAAACTGTATCATCAATTCTGGCCTACCCTTACCTCCACAATAAACAGGAATATTCTGTGCTTACAAAGGATTTTTTGCATAACTGGCATCTATGTTTACCTGACAGATTTTTTCAACACACATCAGAAAATTCAAGGATCACATGTAAACACAATTCCTGGACCCTCTAAATGAAGGACTGTATTAATAGCCAGGATACCAGTGTGTTTAGTTTGATATTTAAAAAGTAAAAAAATCTGGGCATGTAAATAAGTCTTTTTGAGATTTTCCTCAGTAGGTAGCCACCTAATTCTTGAATGGGAACTTTAAATAAAAATAAAACCACCAAAACCTGCCTTGCTCCTTTAAATTTCTGCTGTGATGTCTTGCTCCGTGTTTCAGCAGAGACAATGGACTGGAAAGCCAGCAGTGAGCCAGGCTAACTGGAATGCACAGGAAGGTTCTCAGCCCTGCCTCATTAACACAGGGCTGGTTTAGTCCAGTCACTCCATGTTAGGCCTTGCAAAAAAATTATCAAGACACCCGCAACAACAGTTAGAAGCAAGGCTTGCTCAGCTTGGCAGCTGTCTGCTGAGAATCTTAACTAAAAGCAAAAAAACCCCACACAGTGCAGCCAGGGCAAACTTACTGAAAAATGTTCATGGAAACAAAGCTTGGATAAGTCTTGAGAAGAATGACAAGATAAAAAGTTAAGCAAAACAAGTAAAAGGATTACTAGAAAAACACCCTCCAAAACCTCAAAATGTGCAATTCAGCCTTTGAAGAAATAAAAATGGAAAAAAAGAAGTGAAATCTTCCCTGGGAAACCCTGTTCCCCTGCCACTTATGGTTGTGTAGCAGGATGCTCTGCCTCAGTGGGCCTCTGTGGGAAAAGGACTCGACATTTGCTCTACTCTCTGTGCTCTCTGGTGAAAAACAACTACCAGATAAGCTGGTCCAGGCCATGCTGTACCTCAGTGTTGGAAGACACTCTGGAGCAGCTGGGCCCAGACACAGAGAGAAAATCAGAAAACTGATAAAGAAAGAGACAGTGTTTGTATGTGATAAAAAGTCTTTTGCTAAGCTAGAAAGAGCTCTGAGAAAGGAGAGGAGGCTTGGCAGCCAATGACTGACAGTCAATCACTTTATTCTATAAAAGCACAGTCCCATTCTTGACTGGGTGGGATTCTTGCACACTTTCCCCATGGGGTGTGTTTGATTTCCACTACCCGAGTGGGGACGCCCCTCAAACAGTTACTGCCCAGAGGCTGAGAGAAAGGGAGCTACCCCATGGTCGTCAGGGAGGGTAAGTAACATCAATCCCTATTTCATAATGAAGCCAGCTTTAAACTACTGCTTTAAAATATTGTGTTGGTTATTGTTCTAGATGTAGTGAATGTCAGTAACAAGTAGTTGCTACAGCACTTACACTGTTGACTAGAGTGTAGAGGATATTCTGATTTATGTCCTTTAGTCCAGTTGCCTAATTGTTGTAATTTACAATAAAATTTTGCTTTGTGTGTACATACACTCTGGCCTGCCATCCTAACCCCATTCGGGACGACTGGCACAGCGAGCAGGGGAGCAGACAGTGATGGCAGATAGTTTTGAAAAACAAGTAAAGGGTTTAACAGAGTATCTACGGAGGCATGGTATAAATATTGAATCTGAAGACTGTTGGTCAGCAGCCAACTGGTGTGACTGGGAGAATATTCAAGCTAAAATAGATAAAAACAGAGGATCGTTAAAAAATACAAAAGGAAAAGGTATTATTTGCCATGTGTTAGGGCAGTGTTTAAAAGCTGCATGGCAATGGAGAGAACAAATACTAAAAACAAATGATGATTTGAATAATGAAATAAAGGAACGCAAACAAGCAGAACTGTCCCTAATGTTGCAAAATGAGCTATTAGAACAAGAATTGAAAGAATCCAGAGAGAAGGGTAGACTTTTGGAGGAGAAATTAGAACAAGTACTACTAAAACCTCCTAATCCTCTGGATGTTAATAAAATAAAAAAATTAATAGTATCAGCAGAGGATTGGGACTGTGGTATTTGGGAAAGCTCTAATGAAAGTAATGATGAAAATAATGGTGATGAAGAAGAGGAAGAAACAACTGAACATTCAGCTCCCACAGAGGAGGAAATTCCTGAACTAAAACTGAAACCCAAAGTTAAAATCAAGGTATCAGAAGGACTTGAAGGAGGCCAGAGGAGAAGTATAGTTAAAACTGCTTCCTGGGACCCCCTGCGATTGTCAAATTTACAGGAGAAGTACGGGCGAAAAGCAGGAGAGTCAGAAACTGAGTATTTGTGGAGAGTGAGCCTCACAGGAGGAGACAGAATACTGCTAGACAGCAATGAGGCTGATGGGTATTGGGGTCCAGCAGTATTACTAAGTCTTGGACCTGAACCCAACAGCCACCCCCATTCTATAACCAGTCGGGTTGCCTATTGGGCAGGAGGGATAGATATCATGGAAAGAGGAGAACCAGCCTGCATACCTATACAGTCAGCTAATGAACTAGCCACTGCTGTTACAAAAGCAGCCTGCTTGCAGGCAATGCACGACCGTGCAGATGTAGACATTCCAATTTCTGCTGAAGTAAATCCTGATATGTTAAGACCTCTCCTGAGGGGGGCCCCAACAGCACTGAAAACATACTTAGCAGGGCGCCGGGATGAGATTAGTAGGGATCTGGCTCATAATGAGGCACTCCAAGATGTCCAAGCCCCAAGAAAGCCAGTCCCCACTTGGGAAGAAATCTTGCATGATATATTAAATCATGTAAGAGACATGGGCTGGTTGGATCCCAGAGACCCAACTCAGCCCCCCGACAAAAGCTCAAAATGTAAAAGGCAGAGACCTTCCGAGACTCGGGTGAGAACCTTTAAATCTAATCTCCCTGTGATGAAAGACAAAAAGAAATCAGAGCCTTTTCATTCACAAGAGCAACAAGATGAACTGTGGAGAACTGCAAGTGGCCTTAGGCACTCCCAGTGCAGCCTTAAAGGGACACCCCACTGCAATTATAGCAGATATAGTGAAAGCAGTAAAACAAGGAGGGAACAGGGAAAAGGAGGACTCCCTGCAGGAGAGATGCAATCTCTGATGTGAGCTCTTAAGCAAGCTTGTGATGTTGAGAAAATTCAACACCACCAATCCACACAAATTCAAGGACCTTTTAACCTGTTAGTCAATATTAAGGAAGGCAATGCTCCTCTAGCTGGAATTGCACAAAAACTGACTATACACAAATGGTAGGTATGTGTTTCAGGAATGATGGATCAAATGAACATAACAGAAAGACCAACAAAAACTACAAACTTACTAATATATGTGATTTTTCCTTCTTTTTAATGGGGTAACCTGTTCGGACTCTCCCTGCCGAGACAAGTCTCTGCTTTCTCTTACAGTGTTCCTGTCACGACCTGGGTAGAGCAACCCAGGGAGATTCAGACTGGACCCACTTGCTTTCTAAACTCCTGCTCAGAGAAGAGCCTTATGTGGTTGACATGCTGGAGGGAAGGGAGGCCATCCAGAGGAACCTGGACAGGTTTCGGAAGCGGGCCCATGCCAATCTCATGAAGCTCAGCAAGGCCAAGTGCAAGGTCCTGCACCTGGGTCAGGGCAATTCCAAGCACAAAAACAGGCTGGGGGGGGGAAATGGTTTGAGAATAGCCCTGAGAAGAAGGATGTGGGGCTGCTGGTTGATGAGAAGCTCAACATGAGCCATCAATGTGCACCTGCAGCCCAGAAAGCCAATCATGTCCTGGGCTGCATCAAAAGAAGTGTGGTCAGCACATTCAGGGAGGTGATTCTGCCCCTCTGCTCATGTGAGACCTCACTGGAGTACTGTGTCTAGTTCTGAATCCTCCAACACAAGAAGGACATGGAGCTGTTAGAGCAAGTCCAGAGAACGGTCAGAAAGACAATGAGGGCTGGGGCACCTCTCCTATGAAGACAAGCTGAGAGAGTTGGGGCTGTTCAGCCTGGAGAAGAGAAGGCTCCAGGGAGACCTTATAGCAGCCTTCTAGCACCTAAGGGGCGCCTACAGGAAAGCTGGGGAGGGACTTTTTACATGGGCATGTAGTGACAGGACAAGGGTGAATGGCTTTAAACTGGAAGAGGTTAGAGTCAGGTTAGACAGCAGGAAGAAATTCTTCACTATGATGGTGGTGAGACACCGGAACAGTTTGCGCAGGGAAGTTGTGGATGGCCCATCCCCGCAAGTGTTCAAGGCCAGGCTGGATGAGGCTTGGAGCAACCTGGTCTGGTGGGAGGTGTCCCTGCCCATGGCAGGGGGGTTGGAACTGGATGATACTTAAGGCCCTTCCAACCTTAACCATCCTATCATTCTGTGATTCTTTGTTCACCTTTCTTATGTACACCTTATACCAGATGGTCTTCCTAGTGACATCAGAGAACACTATCCCATAAAAAAAAAAAAAAAAAAAAGAGATAAAAGAGATACAACAGGCATATTGGGAACAGGACTAAGTGTATTAAACACTTCTGATGCAGAAACACTAAGTGTGGTAGTGAAGTATTTCAGTTCTATGGATCAGCCTTTGAGATCTTCTTTGTTAGCTTTAGGAACAAACTAATGGCTGGCTTCAATCCTTTTTTTTTTGTTTTAGGAATATTCACAGTGCTAGTCACCAACAATTGGCTGATACTTTGGGAATTGCTCAAAATAACATATCATTAGCACTAAGCTTTATCCAAGCTCAGTTATGGGTGAAATCTACTGCTGCTGCAATAATCAGAGAAGGAGAAAATGAGCTTTGACCTAGGGAAATGAGAAAGGATCACTCTACATCTTTTGAAAGGAAATTTCAGTTGTGGTGGCAGCTTATTCACTTTACATGCAATCAAGACAACAATAACATCTCTGCATCCACAGTAACCATTTGATCATATGCCATGTGATTGTATATACTATCTATCCTATTGTGGCATCAGGAATTGACAGCAATAACACACATATACACAAGAACATCCAGTATGGGCTTTCAAAAACAATCCCAGGGATGACTGACAAACAACTGATATTGATGCTTGTATTGTGAAAGAACAACACAAATTTATATCTGAAAGCAACCCTTTAAAAGCCCAGCCTCTGTTGAGACACTGAGCAGAGTTTTTGTTATTCTGAAATGTACTCTGATACTCATCCCAAGTCAGTTTTAGTGTATATTGGGAAATTATGTATATGCTTAAGAACCATTGTAGTGATTTGACAATAGATAACAAGAAACTTGATAACCACTCAAATGTATGTATTTGTAATTTCATCTGTGTATTAGGATATTACTTCAACTACTCCATACCCTCCAAGGTGTACCAGAATATAAAAGCAGCAATGTGCAACACCTCCAGCAACACCAAATCATCAACACCTATCGGAATGGACATCACTTTGGCTCAAAGACTGCTGAAACATCCTCATTTACATGAACTGATAGAACAAATGAAAAAGGAAAGTCAGAAAAACCTTTTTACTGTGCATCATGATGCAGAGAAAATACAACCATGCTCTGGAATGAATGAAGAAGCAGGGAGAACATCAGTGGTGGGAAATCTGGTCTGGATGGTCACCAACTGTTACTGAGACTTTGAACTTAATATTAAACCCTACCACAGTCTTGCTAAAATTGGTATAACTACGTCTGGCTTTAATAATAACTGGATGTTTAAAGGTATGGTTTATGAACTGAGGCTTAGCACAACTGACCCCACCTCAACATTGGTTATTAATGATGCATAGGAATTGATGTTTCTTATCTTACTTGATTTGACGACAACATACACATATATAAGGGACACTTTTATAGCATGGAGGCAAGAGGTACCTGCATTACCACTTCATGAGGTAAAGATGATTGACTGCAGTCATGGGGGTGGAGTGTAGCAGGATGCTCTGCCTCAGTGGGCCTCTGTGGGAAAAGGACTCGACATTTGCTCTACTCTCTGTGCTCTCTGGTGAAAAACAACTACCAGATAAGCTGGTCCAGGCCATGCTGTACCTCAGTGTTGGAAGACACTCTGGAGCAGCTGGGCCCAGACACAGAGAGAAAATCAGAAAACTGATAAAGAAAGAGACAGTGTTTGTATGTGATAAAAAGTCTTTTGCTAAGCTAGAAAGAGCTCTGAGAAAGGAGAGGAGGCTTGGCAGCCAATGACTGACAGTCAATCACTTTATTCTATAAAAGCACAGTCCCATTCTTGACTGGGTGGGATTCTTGCACACTTTCCCCATGGGGTGTGTTTGATTTCCACTACCCGAGTGGGGACGCCCCTCAAACAGTTACTGCCCAGAGGCTGAGAGAAAGGGAGCTACCCCATGGTCGTCAGGGAGGGTAAGTAACATCAATCCCTATTTCATAATGAAGCCAGCTTTAAACTACTGCTTTAAAATATTGTGTTGGTTATTGTTCTAGATGTAGTGAATGTCAGTAACAAGTAGTTGCTACAGCACTTACACTGCTGACTAGAGTGTAGAGGATATTCTGATTTATGTCCTTTAGTCCAGTTGCCTAATTGTTGTAATTTACAATAAAATTTTGCTTTGTGTGTACATACACTCTGGCGTGCCATCCTAACCCCATTCGGAATAGGTTGTAGAGAGGTGACTGGGCTGTGTTTTGATAAAATAATTTGAAAGATTGTTCAGAAGCTTCTACAACACTATGTTTTTCACACCCTTGAAAACCTGTCAGACCCTCAAGCACAGAAAACTGAAAACACTTAACAGACAAGCAAAACCCAACAGCAGCCAAGCCACAAGATACACCTTCAGAAATGCAAGTACCTCATCACAAATGCAATAATTAAGGAAAACCTAGCCCTTATGTTAGCTTTCTGAGCCCAGTTATTTAAGCACATGTTCAGAAATCTTGGATAACCCTGAGAATGTTTAGGCAGAACTAACATTAAAATAGTTACTCAGAAAGAAGTTAGAAGACTTTGGTTCTCCTTATGGGACTTGTTTTTCAGGTTTTTTTTTTGTTGTTGGGGAATTAATACAAGTTCAAAAGCACTCTTATTTCTTATCAAGAACTTTCACATGAAAAAAGTACAAACAAATCCATCAAACCTGGTGTGCTAGGTGAGCCCCTACGGCAGCCACAGCTGAGTAATATGGGAACGTCTGGTTACAGTTCATTCCTGTGATGCACAAACTCAGGAGCATTGCAAGGCTGAAGCCACTGAGCCACTGTTTCGTATCCTCCTTGAACTGTAATGCTGTTGACTTCACACCGATAATGATGTCATCTCTCTTATCCTAGAATGAAAGGATAATTGGCAAAAAATCCACAGTCCAGCTGCCACTTCATAAGGAAAATAAGAAGGGGGGGGCTTGCTTAAGATTTCAGTGCTTACTAGAAACCAAATTTAAGTGCACTTATAGGTCCCTATACTAAAATTTAAATTAGAAGGTTGGCCCTTAAGGACTGTTATAGCAGCCAAGAGCTAATATGGACATCAAAGTTATTTATGCAATGCAAATGTGTAAGCACACAAAATGTATTACACTTCCAGCTGATATGTACAACATTTGCAAACAGCAATAAAAGGTGCAAGGGCTGGGGTGTCTTTGGCGCTGTCTTAGCTCAGCTGATGCTGAAGAACTGCAACAGGTTGGTACTACTGTTTAACAATGAAATTGTAAAATAAACACAAAAACATACACAGGTGTCTAACATTTTCCGCTGTTATTCTACCTGATGTGCATAAATGGTATCATATACCAGAGTCCACATCACTCCAGCTAAGTACAAGGGCAAACAAACAGACCATTCACATGACCCTTTGATGGCAGACCAGCCAAGAAGAGCTCCCCAATTAAATGTAAGTCCTAAAAACACAAAGAGAGGGGGGAAAAAAGGAGAAAATAGTTACAAGATTGCCAGGAATAATCTAAAGTACATATATAGAATTAAATTACAGTGTACTCAAACAACAAGTCTAAAGTTAAAACCCTTAGATGTCAGTTTAACATATGACATCGGTATAACTGACTATAAAATAGTGCAGAGCAGGCAACTACAGTACTTCAAGGCTAAAAATGGCAATTTCTGTTGAAAAAGCTGAAGGCAGCTGGGATGTGGAGGCCAAGATGTGTTTTAGTAGCTCAACCTGAAATAGACCATCAGTTTTTTAACAGGAATTATTTTAGAGGCTGATCCACTGAAATGCAGGACAAGTGTATGCTTAAGAACTGTTCTGAGATAATCCCAAAACCAAAGCTGATGCTGAAATGACAAATATTTATTGTCTCCATCCCTTTCTCTTTCTACCCAACTGCATCAAAATAAGGAATTTATTTTTAACAAAAAAAACCCAGCCCAAACATCAACTTTTGTATATGTTATAAATTGTTTGAGAAGCTTGTGGGACAGTAGAACTTTGTTTATAAGGTATTATTTTTTTTCTTATCAAGTTATAAAAAAACAGATTGCTGAAGTTCAATTACTGATTTGTAAAACACCCCAAAAACTACATCTGAAGAAAACAATAGTAAAATGATTTCCAGCTCACCCAAAACTAACTGTGGCCAATATGTTATTCTCTTCATCAGAGGGTAGGTGATCACAAGAGACAAGGAGGCTGCTCCCAGAATAATACTGTAAAAAGTATAAAGATGTTTATTACTTGCCAGTCTGAAGACCACAATATATAGCACAGCATTACAGGAGCTGTACACAGTACTGAATTCATTCTTTTACTTTCAAATACAATTACACAACTAATATCCTCCTCCTTCTGCCTCCAACACCTTTTCTGATGAAAAACTCTGTGTTTAAACCTGGACACAGAATCAAATTTTTAAAAAAACAAAACCAACATAAAACTTATACATCACCTATAGTAATTCAGACACAGAAGCACACAAAGTGCCAAGCTAAGCTGTCCCCCAAGAAAAACGAAGGACTGAAAAGTGGATATATCTCCAGCTGCCAGGGGCCTACTTGCTGTCCTCACAACCTAAACATGGAAAGAATAACGTTAATACCAAATCCAACAGAACACATTCCAACTTATCTTGCAAACAAAAGTCACACCATTGGCATGTAAGCAGCAATATAAACAGAAATAGAGCTCAGAATGTATAAGATGGGGTTCCTTCAAGAATACATGAGCTGTATTTCTAAGCAACAGTGCTTATAACAGAAGCATGCAAGTTTGAAAAACTAGAGCAGAAATAAAATGCCACTTGTGTGCCATGAAAAACACTGTAGACGTCTCATATAGGAAAAAAATAAATAAATCAGACTTTAAAAGTTGTGAGCTAACTATCCCAAATTTGAGTAGCACTTCTGTGATTAAATGCTTTGAAAAGCGATTGCCATGTAAAATATCATAAAGATGTAGGGCTCCTCTAGCACACATAACCATTGTTCATAACTGTGAAAGGACAATCCTTTCTGAGATACAACAGAGTTCAGAAACTCTGTCTGGAACAAGAAATCATAGAAGCCACAGTGAAGAAAGAAACAAGTATCAGGGAAAAGCTAAACTGAAATGTATGGTTGAGTTACTTGCCAAAGGTGACCACTGTCAAAAGGAAAAAAAGAAAAAAAAAAAAGGACAAAAGTTTTGCTTGTTGATAAAAATGGGGTAAAGTCTATCCAGAGATGTTCAGAAGCCAACTTTTCACAGAACATTATGTATGTATAAAGAGTTCTGTATATGCTTTAATAATGTGAATTTAAACTCTTAGTTTTTTCTCCCCCCCAATCAGAGTATGTTAAATATCAGATGCTGCTTTTGCAGTTTAAACATGCACTTAATATATTTGTGACCAATTCTACTGCACATTGTAACCAAATGTAGCAGCTTTCACTTAAAGGAAACATTTCTCAAATAATCAGTAACAAATCTAAAATCTCAAACGACCAACACACGCCAACATCCTGGTATTGACTCGGCCTCTATCACACTTATTTTGGAGATACCATTTTAAGGTATGTAAGAGTGAGCTGCAGTGGGTATTTTTAAAACTTTACATCTAATCACATCATGTTAATGCACAAATGAATTATCAGACCCCTACCCTATCAAATATTTTAGCAAATTTAGTTGTTAACAAATTGTAAACCTTTCTAATTCTGATTTCTAATTCTAAACAATTCTGAACCATCCAAAGCTTCCACAAAACCTGTACTGATTAATTGCCTTCCCAACAGCACAAATACAAAAGTGCTGTAAGAAGAACTTCACATATCAGGTTGGTTCATTATCCTCTTTCTTGCCAGCACCGAGATCCAAAACCCAAGCCAAAGGAACATGAACAGAAAGCAGAACAAGCAGTGACACATCACCAAAATACTCCCGTCCATGCCTGCACCTGGGCATATTTCAGCAGCTGACACTGGGCACTGCTTTTTGCTTATTTCCCTCTTCTGAACAAAAGGGAGATTAAAGATGCAACATAACATAAGAGGATTAGCTCAAGTCTGGGCATGCTGCTCTTAACAGCCATTCTCATGAGGAAATCAACAATACTCCAGGAAACCCTGGACCTAAACATTAAAAATAAATAAATAAATAAATATTGTTTCTTGGGTGGATTGTTAACTAGCAAGTGTAGCAAAAAAAAAAAAGTTATTTTGTTCTGCAATGCAAAACAAAGTTGAAAAACAAACGTGTTCAAGTACTACCCAGAGGTGAAAACAACATCTGTTTTATCTGACAAAGACTTACTACAGTCCTAGAAAGAGAAGTGTCACACAAAACTACCTGTACTGCTCTAGGAGGAGACGTATACAAATCAATTGCACGCACACATCTCAGACAGAACCCTGGAGGGAGGAACTTCTGCACCTGACCCTGTGCCTGAACCCAACAGGAACCGCTGGTGCTGCTGGAGATGGATGGGCTCCTCCCTGGCTAATTAATTAACCCGCAGCTCACTTCCCGGGGCCTCCGCAGGGGGCCCCTCTACCTGTCTGTCATAGTCGCGGTCCCACATGTCGTTGATGGTGCCGCCGGCGCCGCGCATCAGGACGGCCCCCCGGCCGAACAGGGACAACAGCCGCCCGGA